CAGCTGCTGAGCTACAGAAGCCTTTGCAAAGCGCTCCGCTGGCTGGCAGCACTGCACAGCCTTCGGCTGCCACCCCGTGGAAGGAGGCACCGAGCTGCTGCCTGCAGAGGTTCAAGGGATGCACGCAGGCATGAATCAGCCCGGCTCAATTACTGAAAACATCACCGAATGTTAATAATGTATAACAGATTCCCATTTCCTACTGAGCTAAGGTTGCAATTTCTTAGCGTGTGCCAGAGGCTCTGGTTCAATTTCATGACTCCGCTGTTCTCGGGAACAGAAGATTTATTAAGTTGGCTCAAAAACTCGTTCTGGAGCAGTCCCTGGTCACTGCTTGGCTTCGCCTGCTCCTCCACCTTTAGCATCCGCGGGTCGGTGCTGTGGAGCAGAGGATTTGGCAGAACAGCTGACTTTGTGCTAAACAAACTCCCAGCCGGACCCTCGCACAGCACAACCACAAACATTTCAGGCTCACTCCTCAGTTCAGTGCCAGTTTTGGGCACTGTGATGCGTCAGAATCCTGATCAGCAAACACCCACACCCTGAAGCCCAGGTGATGGTATGCAGATGGAGCTGGAACCCATGAACAGAGTTCCTATTAGATTCAATAATTAAATCTGTGGAACACATTAGTGGGTAGGATTAGTAGGGAAGGAGGAATCGCGCACAAATTCTGCATGTAGGAAGGGACGAGGAAAGGCAGCTTTACCTTCTGCTCGCTCCATGCTGTCAGGCTGCTGTTACATTGCTTAGCTCAAGCAGTGCCTGCTTCATTTCCTTGCCCATTCCTGGAGGATCCCGCATATATTCCTGCTTGGAGTTAGCAGGCCAACCTCCACCCTGAGCTCCTCCGCCCCACTCAAGTGCCAAAATTCCCTTCCTTCCCCTGAGCACAGCATCAGCCGTGGGCAGCTGAGCACACACCTGCTTGCCCGCCCCGCAGGAAGGCAGGCTCAGCAGTGACCCCATCCCACACCCCGACCTTTTTCCAAATAAAAATGCAGGCTGATTTCTGATACAGCAGCAGCAACCGCGCTGCTTCCCAACATGGAAAACCCAGCGGCCCCAAGAATTCCTGCCCTCCCACGTCATCTGCACCAGCAGCCCTTTAAAAAAAGGACAACTTTATCTGCAAGCGATTAGCTGCAGAAGCAGGGCAGATAAAGGCTTTCAGCAGCAGGTGCCGCATGATTGCTCACTTCTTCACAGGACCTTTTAACTTTTTGTTTTCCCCTGCCTGGCACAGATGGGAGCTTCCCCTACCCCAGCTCTCGGGCTGCCCAGGGAACTGTGAGCACTCAGCGATGAGGATGATGAGACGAGCACTGCTGTCACAGGACGACGTGGCAGCAACACAGCACTCACAGCTTTCTCCATCGGTTCCTCCCCACTGATGTTTAAGCACCTCTTGAGTTCAAGTTTCACGGTTTCAGTCTTTAAGAGACCAGGATCTCATCGTGGTTTTGTTTTATGAAATAAGAAGGGTTAACGTATCAGGCAGCCCCACTCACCCTGGAGGAGTCAAGTTCTGAATTTGGACAGGACAGGAATCACGAGGCAAAAGGACTGAAGGACTTGCCAAAAACTGTTCATCTAATAGTGCTGGTGGAGGAGGATTCAGATATTAATATATTATTAATATACACTACTATAATTAGCAGCTGGATCCTTAGAATGAAGAATGGATTCCTCTTGGGAACAAAGCAGAAAAGAGAAATATTTGCCAGGCACATTTACCTTGCACGTCAGTGAACTTTCCTCCAAAAACATTTCTAGGTGAAACTTTAGAGGGCGAGATGCTAAACTGAGCACAGCCCCCAGGAAATGAGCCCACCTCACTCTTACCTTTATCTATCTGAAAATCTGCCCTGGGTGCGTAAAGCAGACACTGCTTCCCATCTCTATCAGCTCTCCTGATGGTGAGCACCACCACCTCGCTGCAACCTTCCTGACAAACAGGAAGAACACTGTGAATGGGGGGGAAACAAAGTGAATGGGGAAAAAAAAAAAAAAGAAAAAAGAGGAAGGACAAATTAAATTCCTAATTCTGACCCAAACAGACAAGGCTTCAATTCAAGAATTTCCTGTTAAAGCGGTCACAGAACTGAGCACAGAGGTGCTCAGTTCCCTGCATTCTTGGGTAAAGAGTTCTTGGTCTGCATATCCAGGCACGGAGGTGATGGCTGATGGCTGGAGCTCAGAGGTCTTTTCCAGCCTTACTGATTCTATGATCCTACGGGCTGTGCGATGCCCTGGGAGCTGCACAGCAGGCGCAGGTGAGGCCGTGAGCCCCCAGAGCAGAGCTGCACATCTCACAGCACACTGCATTCCAGGTGGTGGCCCCAGCACTGCAAGGATGAGATCAGAGCCTTGCAGAGGGGCTGCCAGCACTAGAGGCCGCTGTCCTCTTGCATAAAGGAGACCGGGCAGCAGCAGCCTGCAGGCAGCAGGACTCCCTGAGCCCCCAGCAGCTGGTGGCAGCACGTAGGAACCAGAAAGGTGTCAGTCTGCACAGAAAAGGACGGGCAGGAGATGCTCTGTGCACAGCACCCCCGTGTCTGTGACACCCTCAGAGCCGGGGCTGCTCAGCTGCACAAATGCATTTGGAACGTGAGACTGCTCACCAAAACAGCCCAACAGCATCGCCCAGCACTGCCTGCAAAGAGCCCACAGGAGAGAAGAAAGCAACTGAGTGCACAACGACTGGCTGGGGAGGATGGCAACCCTCCAAGCTGCTCACAGCACACTGCAGTGCTGCAGCACGAGGGGGGGCTGCTGGGTCTGTGTGAGCCCTGCATGCAGAGCGGCTGCACTGCTGCACTCGCAGCTCCAGCAGGGCTGTGCTCTGCCAGCACACGCATCGCTCCTGTGCTGCCTCCTGCTTTTTTCTCTTCTCCCCAATTTTTTTTTGATGTTGCTACCTGACCAAAGCTGGGAGCCAGGAAGGAGATGGGGGTGAAACACCCCCGAGGAAATGCTATGGTGGGTCAGGGCCAACCTGCAGGCTGGCAGAGGATGCCAAACAGCAGCATGGAGCGCTCTGCTGTTCACCCCTCCCCACACCTCACAGTCTGCTGCTTTAACCTTTGGCTCCGCACGGATAATTTAAGGCTCCAAGTTCTAAGACATCCCTGTGATCTAATATTAGACGATAAGCTTGTTTATGTTTTTGTTGCTAAGAGAAAGCTGGAGCTTTGGAAACACTGAAGCAGACCAAATGCTACTACAACAGCTGCCGGTGGGAACTGAAATCCATACAGTGCTTCCCTGACAACTGCTTGCCGTTTTCCTTTTTCATTTGGTTTTTCTGAACTCGGCCTCCTTCCAAAATCAGCCTTCCCCATGTAGGTGACCTCTCCTGTTTCTCTAAGAGCACATTTCCTAGTTCAGTGCACGCAGGCAGTTACCCCATCAGCAGATCCTGCTCTTAGAACAGACACACACACGAGGTTTCCTCTGCCCTTAAGCACAACGCATCACTGCTGCATTTTTTGCTCAGCAGTTTCAAAGCTTCTCCTGAAGGTGGGAGGAATTTTCTGGCTTTTACCTCTGCATTAGCATAATTCATAAGAGATGGGTCACTAATAGGAAGAACGCAGGAGACAAACAGATCTCCTATATTATTTATAGGAACTGATGTGGCAATAAATGCCAATGCAGTAATATTAATAGATGCTCTTTTTGGCATTTACAAGTACTGTCAGTCAGGTTCTGTGCCTGCAGACAGTGCCAGAAGTCTGGGGGGGGTTGCAGAGACCATTTCTCCTGGGAAGAATCCAAAGCCTCTGCGGCTTTATTCTGGGTTTGCCAAAATAGAGATAGGGAATAGAGAGTCATGAGAAGGTCTGAAGTGTGAACACAGAGCACAATACACACTCTGTGCTCTGGCATGGTCTCTTTGCACCAGAAGTATCCTTTGGCAGCTCATCTCAATTCAATTGCAAATGACACCGAGTCAACTGACCGCCAGCAAAAGGCCCAGGAGCACACAGAGGCACTCCAAGCAGTAAACGTTCAGCGTCCTTACAGACCCAAAATGATAAGCTGCAGAAGGTACATCCAATTATTTCCCTGCATACAGAGCTGATGAACGCGGTTCAGCCTGCAGTGCCTTCCAAGCATTACCTGGGTTAGCTCTGGAAAAAAAAAGGGCCTGGACAGCCTTACAAGTCTATTTTCCAACAGCACAGAGCAGCCTTCTTTCTTGGATCTGCTGCATCTGAAGCAGGGAGAAGCCCACAGCAAGCACGTGCTCTGCGTGCTGGGGGGTCCCATGGCTGACTGCAGGGACAGAGCCTGCAAAAGTTTACCTGCTTGCAGGAATAAACGGGATCACTTGATACTCTGTACTTAAATGCACATGGTAAATTTCCTTTCAAAAGAGCATCAACTGATCCAGGCTTATACTTCCTCAGTCTTAAGATAACATCATACATTCAGACTGATGGCAGGTGCTGCTACTGCTGGAACAGCCCTGCTGCACAGGGCAGACTTCAACCTCCATGCTGAGTCTTCTTCCATAGCCAACAGAAAGCTGCAGATGCTGCTGGAGTGCAGCTTCTCACCTGCATCACACATCTCATGCTCCAGCAGCGTTTGCTTTCCCCCACTAACAGCAGTACAAGGACATCCCCACTGGGCTTAGCAGAGGGATGCTCTTTGTCTGAACGTATCTCAGTGCAACGCTCTTTTTAGGAGGGGACTCACACTACAGAACCTGCTGTGAGTGCTGCCTGCTCCTGTACACAGAGGTCTCAGACTGAGATGAGTAGCAGAGATGCCTACCGAAGAAAAGGCTGAGACACGCTGAAAGGACGAGCAGACAAATCCCCAAACTAAGCACAACCTTCAGGCTCTGAACTGATCACTGAAGGCAGAGCAGGGCCAGCAGCCTGCGGCTCCACGCAGCACCCGAGGAACAGCTCTGCCACCCCACCAGCACCGCCACGCCAGATGTGACCACAGAGTTGGAACCAAACGCCCCAGCACTGCCCACTGACCTTCTGCGCTCCCTGGCTTCCTCAGCAGAGCAGTCCTTTCCTGTGGTTGAGGCAGCACCGGCACTCGCAATACCGTTAGCAGAGCCGCGTACAGCACGGTTTGTGATTACACCTAGGGGGGTGCTAGCAGAGAGGCCCTCTGTATTTTTCTCTACGGCAGAATCAGTTTGTTGCCTGAAAGGGGCTCTGAAATAGAGAAGACATAATGGAAAGCAAAGCAAGTCAACTCAACTGCTAACCGAGACCACCACCTCAAGGGAGCACCAGCAGTTCATCCTCCCTGTTCTGGGTTGGTGTTAGCAGGGGGAACTGCACACATTCAAACGGGTTTATAAAAACGTGTAGAAGAATCAGCAGGAAGAATTCAGAGTTAATGACCACATCCCCGTCTGCAGCAAAAATTACTGCAAATGTAACTGGTGAATAGGCAGAAGGAATGAACTCCAGAGCTTGTATGCTGAATGCTGGAGAGCAGCCCGAGCAGCGCCGTGGCACTGCAGCAGGGCAGGAGGAGTGTGAAGCTGAGCTCACACATGGGCTGCTAACTGCATCCTGCTGCAAACACGCCACTGAAACTGTCCATTGCAACCACACTGCAATCTCTTATCAGCAGTTCCCGTATGGAAGTACGTTTCCAATCCATAATCCAGAATTGAGAACTTCCAACCCAAGTGCTGACTTTGTGCAGCGTTATCTCAGCTGTTACCTGGTGTGCTGGCAGGTGGATGCAGAAGTGTTCGCACCGAGAGGTGTGGGGCAGGCAGAGGCAGGTTGCCACGGGGTGCTCAGTGAGGTAGATGAACCAATGGCAGTGGGTGAGGTAGCTAGAGATGTATTGCGACTGGCTGAAATGTAGGGACTGCTGAGGTCACTACTTCTACCAAATGAAGCACTGTAAAACATCACAAAATCAGGTCCTTCAGAGCACAGTAAACATTCAACAGAACATCCCCACAGCTGAGCTCGCAGCTGAAAAGGGAGTGAGCATTACATCTTAGCAAAGTATTACTCCTTAGCAAGGAGATCAGGGCACACCGGAGATGCTGCAGGTCAGCCGCACGCAGGCTGGTGAGGCAGCACACCTTTCAGATAAGCCCAGCTGAGCTCCAAGGAGAGAATAACAGGGAAGATCAGGGAAGGGAGAAGTCCTGCCGTGGCAGAAGCTGCACGCAGAGTGATGCTGTGTATGGGGAATGGTGGTGATGATGAGCAAGGATCATTCTGCTGGGAGCAGGGAAGGAGCGAGGGACAGCAGCAGGCCTGGCTGCATTGCCTCCCAGCGATGCCTGGGACTTCCAGGTTTAAAAACCTGTTTTCAGTGGCTAAAAGATATCAGTTCAGGCTCCAATGGGGCACACATGGCACAAACTCTGTATCTGGAACAATCACTACCAAAATTGTCCCAAAGTATTCAAGAATGAGCAAAGGAAATGCATACTTTGCCAGTTTAATGCAAAACTCTCAAAACCATTTCTCCTGAAAAGCTGTAAGTGCTCCTACTTTGAAGGGCTTTCATATGAGGATGCACCCTTCTGCTTTTTCAGAAGAAAATCTCCTTAAGTGAGATTAGCTGTGCACCTCTAAGAACAGATGATGAAACGTGGCAAAAATCTCTGTATCACGTGCACCTCAGCCCACATCCAGGCTGCTTGTTGATGGCACGGAGAAAACAAGCAGGGATCCTGACACACCCAGCAACTGGTATTCCTGGCTGCTACTGGTCAGACTGGGCTGTCTGCAAGATGAATCAAAGGCTGGGAAGGCTTCGTCTCACCTCCTGCATCCTAATGACTCCCATGCAAGCACACATGGAGGAAAGCTGACCGGGAGGAAAAGCCAGGACAAAGAATTGCAGGTTTATGGAAAGGCAGAGTAAATGGGCTGGAACTGGAAGTCAGCACTACAGCAAGAGTCAGAGAGAGCAGCCCGAGGCTGAAATAAAACTTGCAAGGGACAGAACAACAGCCAAGGACAGGAGGTCGGAGGAAGGATTCAGTCCAATTCACGTAGGCACTCAATTTGCAAATTAGTTTTATACGCCAAGGCACCCAGCCAGCCCAGCCAAGCAGCTGGTCCCTACACAGCCAAAGAGAGACTGGAGCATCCTGGAAGGCCTCCATGGGGAGGAGCATTACATTTGGGCTCTTCAGTTGATGGCTGCTTGCCATATCCAGGTCACAAAGGAACAAGCAAGTTATTGTCACCAGGTAGCAACCTCCACTGGACCCCAAACAAAGCTTCCTCTGGCAAGCTGGCCCCTGCCCTGAGCACAGGGGAGCAGGAAGTCGTTTTGGAAGGAACTGCCTCCCGTGCTGGGCTCTCTGCACCAGAGGAAAAGGAAAAGCCTTAAAGGAGAGTGAGAGCAGGGAGCTAAACCTGGCTGCCGTGGGCGTGCAGAGAGCAGCCGTGACGTCGCAGAGATGAGGGGGAGAAATCAGGGCCTGCTGTACCGAGAGGATGACTGAGTGGAACATGCACCGGGGGGAGGAATGAGAGCAGGAGCCTGGAAAATGCTGGTGGCAGTGCTGGGGGAGCAGGGCTGGTGTGGCACCATCCTAGGAGAACACAGGGCAGAGAGGCTGCGGTGCAAAGGGCGGCTGCAAAATTGACGAGAAACCTGGTTGGGAAGGGAGGAAAGGGGAGGGTTATGGAATAAGACCTGATAAGTGCTTCAGAAGGGAAAAGGTAGTGGCTGGAAATGGGAGACAACAGGATGGAAGGAGCAGCAGGAGCCTGGAGAGCAGAGATGTGAGGGAACTGAGAGGGGAAGAAGGAATGGAGAAGAGCGTGGCGATGGCACTGCGCCCCTGCGTACATGGCTCAGGTCAGAGGGGAAGCTGGTGCTGGGCATCACTCGAGCTGCTCACGAGGGATCTGAAGCACTGCCAGCTCTGCAGGAAGCCACCTCCCCTCCCCATCTCCTTGCAGGGGTGGCATCACACAGCTTGAGGACTCTCAAGCACTGATTCAATCGGTCACATTTCAAGCGAACAGGACCAGAAAATTGCAATACAAAGTTTAGCTGGAAAATCTAGTTATTAACAGTTACACACATCTGAAAATGGAGGATTAGGAATTTATGCTAAAGAACCCAACAATAGAAATAAAGGCACTGACACACTGCTGTTCAGTCTCTAACAGATGACCTAACTATGACCCCCACTCCTTAATTAAGGATTGCTGAAAGCCAAGGCAGGGGAGGAGGCTGCTCTGAAGCCATTCTAGCTTCAGCAATTGGATCTCCAAAGCCAGCTGGTGATGGGAGCTGGGACTGCAGGGGCTGCAGGCCTGACTTGCTGTGATGGCTTTTATGCCAGCAAAAACAATAAGGAGTGCCTGCAAGTATCTAAAATGAAGAAAATAACTGTAAAAGTGATTTCATTTTGGTGTGAGGCATCTCTTACAACTGATGTCAAAGGAAGGATGCTGAATTAATTCAATCTGCAATGTTAGTTTTCCTCCAAACACTTGAACTGATGTGAACTGGCTGTTCAAAGGTCAGTATGCACTAAAACAGAGAATGGGCTGCCAGAAAGTGGTCTGTGCTCTGCTCCTTAGTGCTGCACCCAGAGAAAGGAGGAGTGACAGTCCCTACCATTAGAGAAAGAGGTTTAACATTTGCTTCCACTGAAGCTGAAGAGCATTTGTAAAATTACTGCAAGCTCTTTTGTTCCCATGGAGCAGAAAAGCCATTTTCAACACCTGAATGTGATCTGCAGGTGGTGTTTACCCCTTGTTTGGGGGTCACACAAAGCACTCAGAACATAACTGGGTATCGTTATGGGGATTAGTTAAATGCTAAGGTAAAGGGGAAAGCAGTCATCCTGTCAGCAACACGCAAGTATGTCATGTTCACTTTAATTCTCTTTCAAAATGAGCTTTTATCCTCCAGAATTGTTTTCCAAAAACTAACAACACTCTGCTGACAAAGAGCCTACAACAGGCAACATGTTCTGCTTCTCATCTTAGAGGCGATGTAAAAGGGAGGAGAAATCTGTACAATTATGTTTCATTTTTCTGTGCTTCTCTACAGAAAACCGTTAGGGGACAGAGAGCAAATGGATCCCAGTTTTACTGCCTGTGAAGTCACACAGAACTGCTGATGTCTGTAAAGAAGAGCGTGTCCCTGCACTTCGTTCCTGAGTTGGCAAAGCTATTCTCTGTAATTGCTCATATTCCAGCACCCTCCTACAGAAGGCCAGAACTCAGCCTATGTGAAAAGATGTTTTTATTAGCAGAATATCACTGCCAGCCAAAGCCTTTGCTGATCTCTGTGCAGTCTAACCAAGGAAATGCAGCGCAACTGTGTGAATGTGAACCTGATTCTGGATCAGGTGAGACAAACAGGCAAGGCTTGTGAAGTTTCAACAGAGCCATTCCAGCGATGTTATGGGCTGTCTCAGACCAGGGAACAGCAAGGCACGCCAGCTGCAGGAGGCCAAAGTTTTCCGATGCAATCAGCTGCTGCTGGTTGGAGTGCCTTCAGAGAGCCGCGCTACAGAGGCTGACCTGTCATCATGTCCCAGGATAGATGTGAAGTCACTGGAATGGATCAGCAGATCAGGAAAAGTCTGCTGCCTGAAGTGGCTGTTTCACCTTTTGTGGAAATGGGTCTCTGTGCTCTCAGCAATTGGACAGACTGTTCCAGAGCAGGACTTACCTCTACCAGCAGAAGGACTAGAACACAAAAAGGCACCTCTTCCCAAACCACAACTGCTCCATCTCCAGCAAGCTATTTAGTTCAGAGAGAATTTTGTGCAACATAATCTAAAATCCTGACACATTTCTGCTCTTCTCCTTAAGCACAAATGGCATTGCAGCACAACACATTTACACATGCTGATTTGCTGGTTTCCAGCAGCAGCTAAAATAAAGGCGATGCGATGGAGCAGTACTTGCACAAAGGGCTGATCTTCCTTTTCTCAACGTGGACAAAAGCTCAGAAATGAATTATTTGCCCCAGCACAGGAGGCCGTTCATTCACCTCATTCAGAGAAGGCCACTACCTGCTGCTCCAGGAAAACTGAGCCTCTGCCTCCCAGAGGGGTAAAAGACACTGACAGTTATGGAAGCTACAAATGGGATACTTTTCTGATCCTGCTGGGCTACCAGCAATCAGAAGTTGCCTCTACAGTTTCACATACACTGTGCAAACTGTGTCCTTACTGCCACAAGGAAATGGTTGCAGACATCAGATCTGCTGTCCTAAATCACCCATAGGAACACTGCCATTTTCCTGATAGCACGTACTAATGTAAACCAAAACTAGCACTAAGCTACAACTTACCTGTTAACAGCTATGTGAATGCTGAGTGCAGACTGTAATTACTTTATTCTCTTTTTATGACCAATTTCCCTTTTATTATCAAACCATAACATTAACATAAAACGGAGAAAAAACATTTTGCGTTTGAACTGTATGAAGAAAAGTATTTAAATTCCATTTATAGCCAATAAAAGTGATGGCCTCTAAAGAGATCATTCAGCATGACAGACGCTGACAAGCCTTGATTTGTATTTTCTGCTCAAGGCCTGATGCACCGAGCAGAGGGAGGCACGCTACGAGTAGAACTGACTGCTGACAACACAGGCAGAGGAGAACTGGGCATACCTTTTCAAGTATGTAGATACGTAGGTAGGAGGTGCACCAGAATGGGGAGCTTCATTTCCCTTTGATTCATCCCTCCACGGCTGCCGGGTGTAGGAGCCGCTCCGCACGATGTTAGCAGCTGATTCTCTAATGCAGGAGAGAGCACAAAGTTTGTGTAGGAAACACAGAGTCTGCTTCTGCCTCCTGCACAGCCCCCAGCACAAACCCTTCCCTCACACCCACCTACATACATCACTGCTTACAGGTGGCAACTCTCTGAAATGCTTCTTCTGGTCAGTTGCTGTGATTATCAGCTGTGTTATTTAAGAATCAGAAGAGGATGTGATATTTTGCATGAATATCCTTTTCTAGTCCAAAGACTTGCAACTGAGGGTTAGATTGGCCCTAAATTTAACGTAACATACTAAACAACGTCATCTTGTATCAAGCAGCATGGCACAAATGGAACAGCTAGAAGGAAATATCTATAATTAAACTATTAATTTTCTATCATGCAATGATAGAAGTAAAAGCCACAGTGTGACAAATCCTCTGCTATATTTAGCAGTATAAAACAGACCGAATATTTGGCAATATCTAAAATCACTTGTCAGTTTATGAATTACGTTATCAGCAGCCACGCTTTTCTATTTATCTGAAATTGGGGCTGCTTTTCCTAAACCACGCTCCAGCAGTATGTCCTATCCTGCTCTAGTTTTGGACAGGACCTTGAGCCACAATTAATAATCAATTTTCAATTGTCTTTCCAAATGCCCTTTCAGACATCTGTGGTTCCAAGAAGTGATATTCAGCTGTTTTGAAACGAAGGAATATCAGAAAAAAACCTGTCCTGCACGGTGCATCTGGGCACCATCTGTTTGTGCAGCCCAGTCCTCCTTGCTCTCTGCTTCAGAGCGAAGGACACTTACCAGCACTCAGCTGGAGATGCCACTCAATCCAAGCCACTGCCAAAACCACTCAAGCTTATCAGCCATTTGTCTGCTGCAGTCCAAACCCCAGCGCCAGCTGAGATTAAGCAAGAACACAGCAGGGAGGTTCCAGCAAAAGATCAGCAAAGAATGTCGATCTGTGCTGAAGCTCTCCTGGTGGTCACATCCTGGGACACCTCCATAAGTGCAGATCACAGAACTGCTCTGTGTGTGCCTGCTCACCACTGCTGTGCAACTGGCTGAACATGAGGCCAGCTGAAATTCTCCTCCACACCATGAGTAACTGGCACGAATGGCTGTTCTCTACAAATACACCGTGATATACTGGGTATTCATCCCATTTATACTGTGGTTCTGCCCAGAGGCAACTACAAACAACCCTCCAAAAGCAGCCCCTGCAACGTATACAGCTCTGCACATGAGAGTTCACAAACTCAGAGAATCAAAAAGTGACAGATATGTGAATAAAGGGAACTGAAGGTAACTACAGAGCAAGTGACAGAAGTACAGATGTAAGAGCTGCAAAGTCAGACACTTGCATACAAAATGATAAATGAAGAAGTAAGCATTTACCTAGTTTCCCAGATGGAGACAATACATGTATGTATATATATAAATAGTGATACAGGGGTGGAGAAAACAATCACTTGTCCTGCTTACCGAAATGAAAGGCAATGCACTAGAACTTATTGTAAATACCTGTGCAGATAGGACTGCTAGAAAAGATATGAAGCATTAATACAGGAAAAAGATATTCCACAGGAACTGCCTGCAGGATTCAAGCTGAGCCTTCAGTCAGACATTCAGTCTCACCTGTTTTCTTTCTCCTCTATGTCACTTGCACTGCTCAGTCTTCTGGGGGCTATTGTGGCTAGATAGCTCTTGTTCTCTTTATCCTGATAAACAAAAGTAATTCAGCTGTAAATCTGTTACACCTACAGCACATTCAGCAACAAATAAATTCACTATCAGATTCAATCACAGAAGTATTTTCCTGTCTAAGGACAACTTGTTTGAGGCTTTTTCTTGGGCAAGAAATGTGACAGCATAAAAATATCCACCTTAGACACGATTTCCTGAACAACATGTTAGCAAATGTAAGCAGCTTCTAATTAGTACTACTTAAAAATGGGCAGCAGTTACAGCTAGAATACATGGAATGAGACTCACAAATACAGCTGGTGGATAGAGAGGGAATCTATTTAGATGACAAGGAAGGAGAATTTCCACTACAGATATGTGCTACTGTCCAGATTTGATATTTTCTGATGAAGAATGAGCTGTGCCAGATTGGCAGCCCACCTGAAACTGAGCAGGAAACAGGTCAAAGGGGCACAGAACTCCAGTCCTGCAAGGACAGCTGTGTCAGGATTGCAATCAGTGGAAAAAGGTGCACGTGTGTGTGCATACAATAAAAAGAACTGGAGATACCCAGATCTGTTCAACTCTTTGGAAGGGTGGATAACAGCAGGACAAGGGGAAATGGTTTGAAGTTGAGGGAGGGCAGATTGAGGTTGGATGTCAGGGGGAAGTTCTTTCCCATGAGAGTGGTGAGGTGCTGGAACAGCTGCCCAGAGAGGCTGTGGATGCCCCGTCCATCCCTGGAGGTTGGATGGGCCCCTGGGCAGCCTGGGCTGGTATTAAATGTGGAGGTTGGTGGCCCTGCATGTGGCAGGGGGTAGGAGATTCGTGATCCTTGATCCCTTCCAACACGGGCCATTCTGTGATTCTATTATGGATACAAACCTAGCAATAAGTGAAAATTAAAGGGAAACTGTCTTGAAACAGCAAGGTAAACATCTCAACTGGGATACACCACAAAACCTTTGTGAAAGACGAGCCAAACCTTGTCTTTGCTGTCCAATAAGGCAGATATCCGAGGGGTGGACGAAGATCGATAGATAGAAGCAGCCTTATCTCTCTGTGCCTCACGGGGGGCACTGACTTCACTCAGTGTGTTGTGGCTGCCAGTTTTCCGCAGACCCAACCGCCACGAGGAGGGCGACTCATCCTTCTGCTCGTCCGACCTGCTGAGCCAACTGAACTGCAGAGGGGACAAGGAACGTCAGAAGGTGAGAGCACTGCAAGGCTGGATTTTAGTTCTGAGAAATGCTTCAGCAGGCCTCGCTTTATGCTGGGCTACAGCCAAACTGCATATCTGATAACGTGCACAACTTTGGACTCCGCAGCTCAAAAGCAGTGTAAAAGAAGGGGAAGAGATTCAAAGGCAACCAGTAGAGCAAGAGAGCTTTTGTGTGAGGAGTGATTCAGTACAGGAGGCTTCAGGGTGAGATGGGACTGACAAAACCTTAAAGGGCACACAGAGGGGTGAGTCAGAATTCACTGTTCATTATTCCTTCCTTCCCATAAGGGAACTTCAGCTTGAGTTGGACAGTGTACAGAAGAGCAATAGTTGGATTTGAACAAGAAGTTAGATTTTGGTAAGAGGCAAAAAGTTAAAAAAAAAAAAAAAAAGAAAAGAAAAGATGACTTAGCAAGAATCATTTTCCCTCTGGCATATAACTGGTACTTCATCTTTGCAACAGTGCCTGCTGCCCTCCATATTCTGGTGCAAAAAAGAAACCAGCAGCATAAGATACGTATCCTAAGCAAAACATAGAGCCTCCCAGTGCCATCTGGCTGAGTGATGCATGAGCTGGACAATTCAGATAACTTTTCAGTAACTGCCTCACCTTTGCAAAGCCTTCATAGCCTGGCTATCTAGTCAGAGGCAAACTTTATCTTCTCTGCTTACTGGGCTGTAATGCTGTGTCACTGAATAAACAGGGTTTGGCAAGTGACACACTTCAGACTAGGATGCCAAATTCAGTGCTGATATCTCAGCACAACCCTCTGGTGAAAGAGCTGCTGGTAAGAGATCAGCATCAGCTGTCTCAAAACTGACAGCAGCACACAGCACCTGTGGCAAGTAAGGCTTCCTGGTGAACACCAGGATTTGTTTCAGCAGGTAAGAGTCTAGAAGAGGTATCACACAAATGTCCTCCTCTGTGCTTGACTTCTATTGCTGCTAATGCAGCATCTTTGCCAAAATTGAAGCTGACTCTCAGGGGCAACTCAGGAAAGCACAATAGTATGCAGAATGCCTATTTCCCAGCTAACCATACTGCTCTCAAGCACTGTTCCAGTCCCCGCTGATTCCAAATTCTCTTACCCTTCTGGCAGATGCAGTGAAGGAGTTGGACTCTGGTGGTGGTATTTGCTCAGTGATGGTGGGCCTGGTTTCGTGGCTGGAGTGGTTGGCAAAGGACTCTTCCTTCCTTTCTACAGTTTTTAAAAAAACACAAACATTTCAGTATCACATTTTTCAAGGCCCTTCTTTACAAGCACTCAAGTTCGGAGTTGCTGTGCCCTAGGCATGTCTTAGATCACAAAGATGATGCCAAGCCTAAACAAGCTTTACTTCAACGAGGCTTTCTACTCACTGAATAGTTACTTCCAGTCACCAGATGGATATATTTGCCAAGGAAACCTTTAGAACTTCAACTCCATGGTAAGAAAATCTTCTCAGAAAGAAGGTCTGCCTCTAGGTCGGACCACTCACCAAACACAGCCACATTTAAACACACATGGGAAATGTCCTGCCTACACCAACAATGCAGTATTTTCCTCTCCCAGCAATGAGTGCCTCTCACAGTCATTGTTTTGAAAAAACAAATAATAGGTGTAAGCATCCAAGCAGCACAAGCAAATGAGGTATGTGCAGTGAATAAAAAGCTCGTTGTCTTCTACCATCTTGCAGCACCTGAAGTGCTCATCCCAAAAATGGCCCATGAGGAAAAAAAACCCTGCTGTTTGAGAGCATGCCATGTGCTCGTAAGTCCAGGTGAGATGGAAGTAGAAACTAAAATACAATGCATGGTATGTTTTCTGAAAAAATATGCTGATCTGAAAGCTGGCTTTTTTTAGTACACTGGCTATATTCTATGTATACATACTTGAAGTGAGATTGCAGGATGTCTTTAACAACTAAGTAAAAAAGAACACAGTTCTCAAATTCAATTCCTATCACTGCCTGGCTAACTATTAAACCTCAAACTGCACTGTATCTTACCTGATTCCTTTTCAGCATCTGATTCTGAAACTTCATCTTCTTCAGCTTCTTCCTCTTCTTCAGAGCTAGAACTGCTCGAGTCTTTGTTCTCTTCCTCCATATCTGTGGTCTTCAGCCTATCTTCCTCATAGAGAATTTTCTCTTTGCTTAAGAACCAGGAATTTTAAGGATTACCAAGTGAGTTCTTTCTGAGCTCTACTTCTCAGGAACACACAGACATGATCTGCTATACACAGAAGATGCAAACTGACAAAAATCAGTCTGTATGCTCTGCATCCCAGCCCTTCCAGCACTGCCCGTTTCCCACGGATTCCAATGCCAGTCTCTCATCTCCTAACTTTGTGGGCATTTCTCAGAGTGAAGAAATGTGGTCTCCTCTCTTTTCCTAAGAAAACAATCCACCAGCAAGGCCGTATGGCTCTGCAGCTGCAAAGCAGTTCTCAGCCCAAAGGTCAAAATGACGATCAGGAAGAGAAGCTGGGGACCAAACAGCAGCCCAACTCCTTGTCCTGGCATTCCATGGGTACAGTAAGAACCATCTAATACTACATTTAAAAAAGGCTGAATTTGAAAGGAGTCAAGAAATAAGCACGAACAGCAGTAGACCTTTTAAAAGCAGCTGACAGTTTACAGATGCTGCCCTATTACACTGTGCAGCTTGTTTTCAGAGAAGAGAAAAGAAACGTACTTCATGAAGACTCCACTTTGAGGTTTGCCATTCATGTCAGCTTCAATCAGCTTATTCCTCGTCTCCTTCTCACTTCGCAGCTGTCCGAAAGTCCAAGCAGATTGCAGAGAGAGAAACAGACATCTTAGCATGGCACCTCAGCACACCATTAACATCCATGGTGCAAGGACACCAAGATGAAAAACACTGCATTTGCCCAGCAAACTCCTTCAGCAGGTGCACATCTGCAAGAGCCCTGCATGTCCTGGTCTAGGGCTCCATCAGCAGTAGCTACAGACACACAGCCCATCCTGAGCCTGCAGCTGCAAGGCAATAAGGCTCAGCAGGAGTCTGCAGCAGTCTGTGCTGAGACTCAAAGCGTGACTTTCATGGTACTGCTCTGCACCTGCCCACGCAGACACAGTGCTGGAGGTCCATCCACATGCAGTTGGACACCCATGAAATCAGATTGGATTCAGTTTAAAATCTGCTGCCTGTGTCCCCATTGTGCACTCATAGTCAGGGAAGAGCATTCAAGCGTGCCCAGCACAGGGAGGGCAGATCTCCCACATAGGGGGCCATTCTTAAACCCCTCAGTGCCAAAATTCAGCACTGGACAGGAATACTTGCAATCATTGCAGCAACCAAAGTGTTCTCCCAGATAGAAATGTGTCACTGCTGATGGACAACAACAAAAAAAACAAAACTAAAAGCACAGGGATGGCTGAGGTTAAAATAAAGAAATGAATAACGACCACAATTAGAGGCTCGCTTTGAAGCCTGTCTCCTTTGTACCATGTCTAGCTGGGTTACTCTTCCTTTTTGATGGAACGAGCTGACAATGGCACAAGAAGGAAGAACTCTGGAAATTCAGAATGTAGGAGAAGGATTCTTCCCTTCTTTCCAGCTCTGCTAAAGCTGGCTGCATTCATTTAATAAATGGAGATGGCCTTTATCTAGTGCTACCAATCCAGTGAAGCAGGGGGTTACTATCTCCTGCAAAGCATGCCTAAAAATGGGTTAGCACACATCCAAAAAGGTCTCATGGCTGTTTCTGTTGCTTTTCTTCCGAATACCTTTATCTGCACTATCCTGGTGCATCTGCATGGGAGGGAACCCACAACAAAGTGCTGGTAGTATTTATCAACACCTCATTTAAGGAGAAGCTGATTAATTTTTTAAAACTTTCTGTGAATGCTAAGGATGCTATTTAAGGGTGACAGCAGCTGTGCTATGATCAGAGCTCGAGTTCTACCACCCACCTCGTCAGTTCCTCAAAATACTCCACTGGGTTTTACCAGCAATGCTCTCATTATGTCTGCTTCTGAATCCAACGTTTTCAATTATATTTTCTGATATTTGTCATTATTTTCTATTTGAAAAGATGTTGGGCTGTTTTTTGGAAGCACCCAAACGGTATAATTGTACAAACCAGATGAAACAGGAAAATATGTAACCCCAAGCCTACTTTCTGGCCTGATGGCTGCCTTTACTTTGATCAAGATACATTTTAATGACAACTTTCTGCTAATAAATCCATCCAATATCTCCACTGCATCATGAAGCAGGAGTTTAACAAGGTTTTGAAATCAGAAATCTTTCTCAACAGTGACAGTGTAATCCCTCAGACACAAACATGATGTGGACTTGGGTAAATTGCTCATTAAGAAAAGAGCAGTTTGGCATTACAGAGTTTGCCAGCAAACAAAAGCAACGAAAGGAGCAACTCCAAAGATGAACTACAATTCTTTAGCAGCTCACAGAATTGTACACCTCAGCAGACCTTGATACAGTCAGCCATCCAGTTTCCTACATTCCTATCTACTGAAAATATTGGTGTATTTAGAGATCCTTGAGTGACTGACGTAAAAAATAGTTGCACCTCCACTTCATGCTTCTGCTAATGCCATGTGCTTTAGAGAACACCTGTGCACAGAAGGTAACTGGATATGTGGAAAACGATCTGCCAAGAACTCACCACTGTCTGTTTCTTCTGCAGCATTTCTAAATGCTCAACCAGTCCCTCATCGGCCACGTCGAATGGAGTCTGGCCCTGATGCAAAAAGAGGACAAGAGGCTATTCAATCCAGCATGCCATTAACACTCAAAAAAACACTATTTATCAGTGAAGAATTAAACTGAATGTGCACCACAGCCACTCTGCCTTGATTCTGAGCAACGTTCTGCTACGCTCTACAGTACAGAAAGCCAAGTGACAGCAGTCGTGGTTTCCTGACACTTCATCAGAGCAGCTGCCATCAGGGAGGCACAGCTCCTGACTGCTACGGCTCAGACCTAAGTCAAGATTAAAGCATGTGACTATCTGTGTTGTGAAAAGCACACTCTTGGACTGAGAAGGATTGCAAACAACTTGTTCTGCTGCATTACTGTGTACCCCAACCTCCTGAAGGGCTGCCCACCATCAGCAGGCCAAAAAATCTGGGGGCTATTTCCACATCCATGAACATTCACAAATAAGAGAAAGCCAAACAATTACTTTGGGGCATAAAATCAAGTTACATTTACACCACAATGAGACTTGATGGCTAATGATCAAATAACTCCAGATCGTCCTGGCCATCTGACTGAGCAAGGTAATAGTCTCTGACAGGAAATATCTGGCAACTGACTGCAGCAAATACAATTGTGTCTGTTTCTTTTCATGTCTATCAAAATAGAAAACCCACACGCCTTCTGAGCACTTTGGAAAAGCTTCTGATGGCATTAAAAACAAAAACAATTCCCCATATTTTGAATGCCACAGAGCTCACCATGCTAAAGTGGTGCCTCCTCCTACAGAGATCTCTTTCACATCAGTTTCCAGTACGAACAAGGAGGGGAACAAAGTGCAACCGTGGACAAGCACACTTCACCTCCTGAATATCCATGGGCTCCTTAAGCAAACTTCTAGCTCTTAGCATGGAAGTGGGGGTGCTTTCCTCCCTAATTCCCCCCTCACAAATGCCCTATTTTTCTTCACTCGTTTCTCACAAGCATTGTGAATTTTATTTCCTTTTTTATGACCAAGACAGAAGAGTAGGAAAGATTTCATGCTGCCAGTGCCTCAAGGGCTCATGAATTTGCAATGCTTTATAGCTTAATATTAGCATGTTATTTTGCACTCCAAGATTGTTTTTCTCTTGATGCTCAATATATTAGGGTCATACTGAAAGAGGAATACACACATTAGCCCCTATCTTGGTCCTTGTTTCACCACTGATGTTTTCCAATAAGACCTAAAATCTTATCTTCCTTCCTCCTGCCAAGAGTCCTCATTTCCTGTTGCTTTTCAGTGCTCTGGTACACATGCAGAACTGCTCACCATGTAACCTGTCACGCTGCTGGATCAAACTGATAAGCAATTATGGCATATGGCAATGAAGTCGAAATGCATCTTGCAATGAAATACGCTGCATGTTGTGCCTGCAGTGCCTGCTGTGCTTACTGACCAGCTTGTTCCTGACATCCATGTCACACAACGCCTCAGCCAAGATGGAGCAGGCTTCCTTCACCCCCCAGTGTGCAGCAGCATGCAGTGGAGTCCATCCATCGTTGTCCTGGACGTTCAAATTAAACCCAGCCTGGATCAAGAGCCTGAGAAAAGAAGCAACACTGATTCCTGCCCACTCAAGAGCAACTTCTGTATTCCCTTCAGAACGCAATCCCTGTAACAAGTGAGTCAAGCACAGCACCTGGCATGGAAAAGACAGTTGCTAACTCAGGTTTGGTGGTGGTTCTACTGAAAAACAAGGCCACATACTGTAGGAACAGTCTGTAAAGAGACAGTGCTGGCAGAACTGCCAGGCAACAGGCAGAGATATTGCTGACTGCGATCACCAGCTGTTAAATCTGTAGGTTAAATAATGGACAACTTCAAGTAAGAGTTTGTGCAGATCAGACCTTGCACAGCTAAAGCAAATCTTACCCAAGACAACTGCCTGGGAACATCCTTTCATCCCATTTACTGCTGTACCCTTCCACCTGCTGCCCCCTCCATCAGACCAAAGCACTGCGCTGCAATGCATCTGGGGCTTGAATATTTAAAACCAAAACAAACAGAAGAGAGACAATTGTCTGAAACGTCAGAGGCACAACAGTACACAAGTGATCAGGTGAAAGTACTGAGCAGCTCACGTATCGAAACTGACTGTTATGCAGCTGCTTAAATACTGGAGGACATCCCAGGGGAATTCTGCAGGTCCAGTAAAACTGCCTCTGAAAATTTCCATGGTGGTGTTTCCACCGTGCACAGCCACCTTCCTGCAGCTCAGGGGAAATCTAGCATGACCCCAGAACAGCAGAGTGTTGAAACTCCTGCAACTTTACACTGATGTGTTTCAGTGCTAAATAAAGCACAGTGGTGCTACAGCAGCAGTGTGCTTCCCTGTAAAAGAAGTTTTAAATCAGGTGCAGCCTTTATGTTGATTCTCCAGCTGGCAAAAAGGAGGAACACAGTTATTAAGATACTCAAGGTCATGGAGAAATTCCATGTCTCATTTGAGTTAGCCAGCTGCTGGCTTTCAGCCCCTTTGGTTTAAGTCACTGAAGCTTTGTATGTGAACTTACAGGGTGGCCATAAAACACACAAAAGTGGAACAGTGTCAGCTCTCTGTGAGATCTGTTTATCACTACAATATTTAATGCCAAGGAGTAGCTGAGCAGAAGTGGACATCTGGCAAATGGGGAACACAGCTTCCATTGACTGGAGAGAAAACCTCCCAGTAAAAACCCGTGGGACCAAACCCCATATTGTTCAGAGGGATATTAGATTTCTATTCCATATGATCTGTGTTGAATTAGCATTCTTGGGCACAGCAGAGACACAGACAGCTCATAACTCTATTATAAGCTCTAATGAATGAATGAATATTAAGGGGAAACATAGAGATTAACAAAATTACTTGAGCTTGATAAGAAGCTGCTCTTACGCATCAAGTCATGTCACTTAAGACTATGAAATAAGGAATCAAGGTGGATGAATGTTTCCAGAAAGCATTTCAACCTGCATATGATTAGCTCCATCCATTATTTAGGAAGCTTTACTGCTGGGACATCCTGACTTGACTCTACCTGTAAAAATATTAATGCTCATTGCCAGGAAGCACAGCACTGATCAAACTTAGGTCCATAATGAGCTTATGAGTCCTGGAGCAGTAGAAGCAGCACTGTTACATGGTGGGATCTCTGTCATTGTTGATGGCTACAAGAGCAGCAGTATTACGTGTTGGGACACTGAGGCAGAGGTGGACACTGCATTTTTCTACTAGTCTCACATTCTGGTCACATCAGCTGTCAGTGTGTTTGTGATTGCCATGCAGGATGTACTGTTCCCCCTAGGCTGAAATTATACTTTCATCCTGGTACGTCTGACTTGCTACCCCTAAAACTTGTACTCTAAGTGAAACCTGACCTTCTAATTTGCCCTGGTCTCAGAAGAACTTCATTTCTCTGAAAACCTGGAGGTATGAGAGGCAATTTTCCAGCCTCTATGTATTTCTAGGTGAATGACCATGGCTGGGCACATAATTCTACTGAGCATTTAGACAACAGCAGCCCAAAGATGTTGGTATGAAACACATTTCTCTCAACTAAAAATCTGTGTGTGTTCCTCAGGAAAACCACACTCAGTTCAACACAGCAGCCAGGGGAAGGAGTTCCTACCTCATGACTTCAGAATAGCCCTTTGCTGAAGCAACGTGAAGAGCTGTGGCACCCGTCTGAGGCTGCTTTACATCTTCAATTCTCCCACTGTTCAGCCACTGCCGGGCATCCTGCAGCATCTGCTGCTCCTCTTCTTTCCTTGCCAGGTCTAAGTCTACCCCTAAGACAGCAATGCACAGAGATTATCAGGTGAAAGCTCTCATGCGCTTTGTAAACTTACCCTATTTTTCATTTGCTACACAAGATTATTAGCTTATGTCATCTTCCAAAAACATCAGCAAAAGCTGTTTCTAGCAGCTGGGAGATCTCGTGCATCATCGACAGAAACTTCAAAGCAGTCTGACTTAAAACAAGAATAAATACTCAGATCTGAAAGTTGAGGCACTGGTTGCAAACTCTGCTGGTCAACTACCAGCTTAATTGAACCAGCCATGGGTGGAGGGGTTGTACTGCCAATATGCTTTATTCCAGCCTAAAAGAACCACTTTGTGAACAACAATTAGTAAAAATAAGTTGTGCAGGACGTGCAGAAATGATCCTAAGGCATCCTCTGTAAGAGCAGCATAACCCCTGCAGTGTTCTCACTGGAAATTCAGTAAGTGAGCAAGCTGCACGTAGAGAGTGCACCAGGGCCATTTCAGTGCAATCTGAGGGATATATTTCATCAACTCCTCCAAGCAGCAAACCATGCTGGTAAAACAGTCCTAAACCATTTCGATGACAGGAAGTGGAAATAAAAGGTCAAATTAAAACAAATCAAGATCAATATTGAAAAGCAGCAGGTCCTACAGATCAGTTCTTTCACTGTAACAACAACATGATTACCGAGGAAATTGTAGGGCATGAGACTTATAATAGAACAAAAGAAAACACTTACCAACTCATTCTGTGAGCTGCGAAACATCGCATGATGTTGCAAATATTAAAATTGCAAACGGCTTCAAAACAAGAATTATAAATTTGCACAACAGTAGCAGCACATCTGGAGATGTTAAATGCAATGCTCCGCAAGCTCAGAGACCAAGAGAGACCACACAAGTCCACAAAACAGAAATCCATGGCAGATTCACATAGAAAATACATAGAAAGTCCATCTGGCTCAGGAATGCCTCGAGGCACAGGGGCTGCAGGCTGGGAAAATACTTGGAAGGGAAATCATGCACACTTGTCCTGTTCTTGTGCTTGCCCCAGGCATCTGCTTTCAGCTGAAGACAAAGCTGGAGGGATGCTTATCTAAAGTTTATAACACATTTATTCCAGCAATTATCAACCTTTTAAACTGTGTCAATGGGAAGCTTCTCAGCAGAGCCAGATGGTTGTTTTAGGGCATCTTAGCAGGATGCTACTAAAGTGGCAAAGCAATGAAAGAGCCAAACAAAATCCTAAGAAGTGTCAGGCAAAATATCTGCAGTAGAGGTGGAATTACTGCCTTAATGCCCTCTCAAAAACGTTATTGCAGTGCACGGCTTTCATCACCCATTTTAAAGAGAAACAGGTTGCATCCTTCAAGAACATCCCTGATGAACTTCATAGGTAGGACTTAAACCTCTTATACATACATACAGACACCAAACAGCTTGCAGATGAATTTCATGAGCATAGAGAAAATCTTACACTGGTGAAGAATCCCTTAATTAAGACACTGTCCAAATCACTTCTACCAATGACAGCTTTGCAGGGACAACTCACACAGACACACCTGACGAGGAAAGGGGAAATAGCAGAGCAGATGGGCTGCAGAAGTCTTGGGAAGGATCAGGATAAAGCAGGTCACTCTAGGACACACATTGCACTGCAGGCCCCAGCTCTCAGCAGGGCTGCAAATCTCTCTTTGCATCACCAAGCCTTAGTGAAACCAGACCTTTCATTGGTACCAGAGATCAGAATTAAATCTCACTTTTAAAAGAACTGATCTAAAGAATCAGCTTTCAGGACTGCAGCGTCTTCCTTCTAAGAATCCTACTAAAAAGGACTGAGAATGCACAACACAAATCTTCTGCATTCGTTGCAATGTTCTAAGCAGAGGTGTCTCTGCTACCACTTAGGACAGATTTCAGATCTCCTTATCCACAGAGAAGCAGCCCATAGAATTTCTTTAGAGAATCCCTTCTCTGTCTGCCCCTCATGTTTTCAATCCCACTGCTGATTTACCTTGTTTCTTTACTTGTTCCAGAAGCAGGTCCTTCATGGCTGCCTCCTCTGCAATGTCAGACGGGACTTCACCTTCACTGTTCACAGCAGCCACGTTGGCTCCATGACTAATTAAATACCTACATGAACGAGAGCCATGCCACCGTCAGACCTCACGTGAAGGCTTCAGAGCAACTAACACAGGAAATCAAGTGGCAGAACAAAGTATACAATCTTCTCAATCAAGTTCACTTACCAAACAAGCATTCACATTCTTATCAAATTTCTGCTCTATAAAAGCTCGCTGCTAAGTGCAAGGCTCCTGGTCAGTGGCTCCTGCAAATAACTTTTGTTTCTCTGTACTACTTCAGTGTCCCCAGTTCTTGCACTCACCTGAGAGACGATGCCTTTAATCCAAGCTATCCTCAGTTTTTTCATTTATTTCATTCAAAAAACAATTAATGCCTCCTTCTACCCCTTATGTTTGCCAGTTCTTTGGCTCCAGTTATTCCATAGGTCCCATATCTGGGCAACTCCCAGAACAATTTGTTGGTGCACAAGCAGTACCACTGCCTCCTCTGGGACAAACAACTATTTTGCCCTCTGTGAGCATAATGAACGTGCAGATCAGCTGCAGTCTTGCAGCAGGTTACTGCTTTGTCCTAAATATCAGCAAAACTCTCCATGCTCTGCTGCACCTCTGTGCTCATCAGCTCCTGCCAGTCCTCACATTTCCCCTCTGCTCGGGGTTTTAGCAAAGTACCTAGCAAATCATAAATCACTCTAATGGGATCAGTAAAGGATAACCAGTTACAGGTTCCACCCTAACAGTAACAAATTTTGCATTCAGTAAAAGAAGGAAGGCGCCTTCTTTTTTTAATGTTGCCTCCAAGCGCTCTGTGAGCTGCAGAGCATCAATCATGGCTGCACCCACTCAAAGAGGAGGATGTGCAAAGTGTTACTGATACCCGAATAGCCTGAAACTCACTCACTCTGCAATGTTCAGGTAGCCACACGAAGCCACGGCGTGCAGGGGGGTCCAGCCCTCGTTATCTTGCTGGTTCACATTGGCTCCATTTTCTACAAGGAACTTCACCATGTCCAAATTCTCATCTATACAGGCCTGGGGGAGAGAGGGAAGAATTGGAGAAAAGAAAGAAATACAACAGTGTTAAATCAAATGAACAACTCCCATTGGTGGCTTGTTGGCAGCAGGCAACTCCTGATCTCACACTTGGAAATGTAAGGCAGCACGGAGGCGTGAGCTAAATTAATTTCAGAACTTCCAGAAATGAACTGTAACTCAACGAGCCTCTGGGTGGACAGCCTCTAAATTTACTCAAGCCTTGCACTTCACACCAATGCACATTTCCCTCCTCTATCCAACAATAACCTGCCTGGCACGTGGCACAGCACCATGCAGTGCTACCCCTGTTGGTTTCAGTTCTGGCACTGGATTGCTGGAAGCAGGGCACTCTGTCTATTGAGACAATGCCATCCCCTGACAGCAGGATGAGCGATGAAAGGAGATCTCACTGCTGATGGGACGAGCAGAGGAAGCACAGCTTCAAGCAGAGCACCTGCATGCTGGATGGAGCCCTTTGCTGATACAGTTATACAACAGCACAATTCTATAGACATGACTGCCTTAAAAAAAAAAATCAGAACACAAAATGGTGCATATTAAGTACAACTTTATTCAGCAGTGTTTATTCTCCTGAAGGGAATGACAACCCTTTATTAGCTGCTCTATTAACTGCAGAGCCTGAATTTACAGAGACCTGCTAGCTTTGAAGTTGCCAGACGAAAACCCAGCTGGATTTTCAGGTCTCAGCAGTTCTGTAAGGTGGAATTCCTCCTTCCTCAGATTCCTGGCTACAGCAATGCCCTGTGTTGCATTTACAGGAGGCTGCTATTTAGGGATGAGCTGGCAGCTTAACTCGTGTCCGAGCACACGTGCCTCAGCTAAGGAGCACCAAGCATGGCTGGGGGGCAAAAGGAGCCTCAGACGTGTTCAGCTACAGGCAGAACCCAGCTCCTCACTCTGAGGAAGGCAAGCAGCTTGGTCACAAGTCCTCCCAAAGCTGGGTCCCTTTGCACAGCTTGCTGTGGGTGCATCCAGCAGTTCCAGCAGTCAGGAGGCTTCCAGCTGGTCGCTCCTCTGCAATGAGCAATGCTCACTGCTCTCCAATTTCAGTACTTGCTACGGGAGGGAAGGAAGCATCTCTAAGCAAAACCCCCCAAAGAAGCAATCCTTCATTATCTCATACAAATTACTCTTATCAATGAGTTATTCAGACCTTAATGTGGGAACACAACCATTACAAATAACTTTTCATTCAAAGCTAACACACCAAAGTGCATCACTGCTAACAGCCAAGCCAGGTTCTCCCAGGCAGAGCTTTCTTTGGAGGCAGGACAACCCCACTTTCTGCCCACCGAAGAACTACAAAGAACTTCACTGCTGTGGCTCTATGAAGCAGTGAAGCCAATGCTTGGTGCCTCTGCTGCTCTGCCCAGGGAGGAGCACAGCACAGCAGGACTGCCTGCACTGGGTGCACAGCTGAGTTCAGCCTCAAGGACTCCTTCCTCCTGTGAGCTCCATGTTTATTGGACAGACAGACGGTTCTATTTACATTCTTTATCATTAAAGCCACCCAAGCAGCTGCCACCCAGTACATTTGCTTCTTCAAGCCACAAAATGTTGGAATAAAAGAAAAATTATATAAAAAAATCTCTTTAGACACAAAATAAAACATGCGTGTTTTTAATTTACACTTGCTGTCGGCCATGCTCTGCTGCTGGTGCTTTTCCTATGGGACCAGAAGGGATAATGGGATAAATCATCAAGGTAGGACGCAGGGAACTGCCAGGGGCTGCAATGCACTCCTATGCATGGTGCTAAGTACCAACCAAGTAGCACTCACATGTTTGCACAGATCCCACATTTGCACATACAGTCACAGTTCCTAAACCAGGCCATAAGGAAGAAGAAGCTCCAGGCTCAGATCTCAGGGCACCCATCAGCACAGGAGCCTGAGCCACCTGCAAACACCACCCACAGAGCCGGAGGGCAACGTTCTGCCTAAGCAAAGCAGGTTTCCTGAGGTTATGGAGGAAGGAGAAGAGGACGGAGAGGAAGTGAAGCGGCCGAGGTGTCCTCTCCTAAGTACTATTAATCCCCAGCCTTAAATTTAGGAGAGTGGTAAGTTCAGTAACCTGAGAGCATCCGTCGCTATGCACAGTTCTCCTCTTTTATTTGCTGCGACGTTCCTTGGTACGTGGTAGGAATAACTTACCTCAGACAGCAATAGCACAAAGCACACACCTGCCTCCAGCCCAGAAGTGAGGAAAGAGGAGTGCTGCCTTCTCAGCATGGAGATGTTTGATGTGAGGAGCTCTCTTCTACTGTTTTGCTGCTGGAATTTGCTTATCAGAGAGAAAAAAAGATAGACAGGCTCTTTTCTTTCAATTTTGGGCACTGCTAACCCTGAGCAGCTTTGTGACGTGTGTACAAACTGCTGCTGGCACACTAAGAGAGGCTAAGAGCAAGGTTAACCACAGCACTCTTGTCCCTTTATGTTTCTAATTCTACTTTACCTTCTTGTCCTCTACCTGAGAGATACAGCACAACCTTCAAGGAGATGGTAAGGGTGGGAACACACAGGGCTGTCCCTCCCTCTACCCAGAGACCCCAGCCTGGCTGATCTCCTGCCATTCCAGTACTCTCCTTTGCAGTGGGTTTGACCCAATCCCTTCTGGAACAGCCCTCACGTGTTCCAGCCTTACACACCTTGGTGCAAACTGCCCCCAGAGCCCAGCATCAGCCACGAGCCACTCACAGTGCTGGCGGATGGAGGGCAGCTGCCCTCCCCACTCACATCCCTTCTGCCCTGGCACAGGATCAGCACCGAGCAGTTTTTCCATAGGGAGGAAGTGCTCAGTTTCTAAAATCTGCTGATCTGACACTGCCTTCCCCCTCCTGGTAACAGCTGAAGCCCTTCATGGACAGCAGCACTCACTGATGGTTTTTTGCCACCACCGACACATCCTTCTTTAAAGCACAAATTTTACATCACAGCAATGAAAAGGGCCACCAGGAAACGTCACAGAGCAGCTCTGCAAAGCTCCGCCTGCTTGGCAAGGCTCATCCAACAGCCAGACACAATCTGATCGTTATCTTGAATGAAACCTCATTATTATGACATTGTTAGCTTTTGCTCCTTCCTCGGAGCACGCAGAGCACACAAGCCTCGTCTGACTTGTGATGCTATCAGCAGGGCAGCAGCTGCCACGGCATGCCCTATCTCCTGGGCATGCTTATCTCCTGGGCATGCCTGCAGGGGAGATGGCAACGCCAGGAGCAAAAGGAGCTGGGTGGGCTGAGACCCAGGTGGTCACAGCAGGAGCAGCCCAGTCACACATGGCACTGCCTGGAAGCAGCACAGCCCTGCTCACTTTTTGGGCGCACACCAAATTGAGCACAGCCTGCCCTGCTCCAGTCCTGTGTACGGGTTTGGGTGCCGTGCTGTAAGGAGGACAGAAAGAGAGCAGCCAAAGGAGGGCTGCCAAGGTGGGGAGGGGTCTGGGGGGCACGAGGGACAGCCGAGGGCATCACATTTGGCCCACACCAGTACATTACACAACCCAGTGCCGTGGGTTTCAAGCAGAACAGCTCTCATCAGTGCTCAGTGTGAGCACCTCAGCAGTGCTGCCTGCATGGGCTGGCAGCGCTGTGTCCACCAGCACAGCTCACGAGCACAGAGCTGGCTGAGAGCATGCTGCATGTCTAAATGCAGCCCCGCTGAGTAAATATTTAGTTTGCAAACAGTCCATCACCCAGCGTCATAAAATCATGTAATAAAATAGCAGCAGTAATCAAGAGCTCGGAATCAAAGTCAGCCAGGAAACCTGTAATAACTCCTGTGATTTAAATTTGGGCTGTATTTAATTCTCTGGTGCTCCAACCTCCGTTGCTCAGGATTTAAGTGAGAACTTACGCATTTTCTTGAGGCAGAGCTATGATGTAGAAAGGGAAAAGAAAGACTCAGCTTCTGTGCCACGTGCCTTGGCTATGAAGACATCAGTCCTGTGACACAGTGCTATCCTGGTAACTTCTGCTGCACGGCAGAGTGAAAATCTAATAATCCTACAGCGTCACCTTCTCAGGTAACACTCCTCGTGGTTCCTGCATAGAAGTCATGCTTGGTAATGCCACTTGTCACACGTAACACAGGGTGCAAACCGCTGGTCAGACGCTGCGTCGCACCCAGCGCTCGGGCTGTCAGAGCAGCACAGGCAGATGTGCAGATATTTACACTGTGACTGCAGCCGTTCCCCTCCAGCACTGACATCTTGGTGGTTCAGATGCTCGCTTTGCCTGCCCACACCTCTAGCCTTCTTCTGAGTTATGTTTCTATGCTGGAAACTCAACCTGGGCTCATTTGGATGGCAGAGGCTGCACCACCCACGAGCTGTAAAAGATTCTGCATCAGATATGGGACAACAAAAGTGGGTTTTGTTCTGACTTCTTCCTAACATTACCAGCAGGATTATCTTTGACAATATCAGACAGAGCCACTTCATATCAAAACCCATCTAAAGGCTTTCTTTCAGCTGAACGAAGAGCTCGAGCGCTCCTGCAGCAAACACAGGCAATGAGAAGCACTAAGCTCAAGGCCAAATGTTCTCCCAACTCCATCTGAGACCACTCCACAGCAGCTTAAGGAGGTTTAAATGCAGATTGCCGGCCCCACCTGCCCCAGCCATATGTTCCCACATCTTCCCATGCACAGGATTTACTTCACCCGTATTTCAAACTGTAAATCAGCCTTCCGTAAGCAGATAGAGGCAGAGGACAGCCCACATCCCAGAGCTGCTGCCATCGAGCAGCTTTAGAAATGGTCAGAGGTACTGCAAACCAGAGGAACACATCGATGATGCTAACACACAGCACTGGGAGGAACAGCAGCTGCTCTGCCCCGCTGTCACGGCACAGAGGTCACAATCAGGGAGATTAAATGACAAGACTTGTGTTATATTCCCCTGATGTAAGTCTGAAACGCATGGGACAAGGCCAGCCTGGAGCTGGAGGGAGTCGATCTTCCCGAGTGCGAAGGAAGA